AGCTAGCTCATCCCAGGTAAGCAGCAGGCACGCCCACAGCAGGCCAGTCCTTCCCCAGGGTTTGGAGAGCATAGAGCCCCTTGAGTAGTAGAGGATCTTCCAGAATAGAGAGAGGTTCTGGAGGCTGAGTCGCAGGTGAGGAAGGGCGGCAGCCTAAGAACTTACTTACAAATGGAAGACAGGTTTGAGCCCAGGCTACGGCAGTGCCTGAAAGGTGGGGGATGGTTGTGTGGCCCAGGGGAGGCCTGGAGAGCAGGCAGGCGGGCTACTGTCTCTAGCCTTTCAGCTTTTCAGAACCACACAGTCATTCACAAAGCTCATCCTCAAGAACAGTATGATTGGGTTCCAAAAATTTTACAAAACCTTGAGCTAGGAATGTAGGTACATGCCATTAATCCCAGCACTTCAGAGAATTCCAGGCCAGCCGGGACTACACAGAGAAACCCTGACTTTAAAAACAAAAACAAACAAACTTAAAAACTATCTCATGATGTTTTAGGTAAATTGCTTATTTTGTTTTAGGCTGCATTCATGGCTATCCTGGACTGCCTGGTCTAGCCTCTTGTGCTCCTTCTGCCCTTGTGTTAGGCCATCTGCTACAGCCCAGGCCTCCCTCCACTGTTCTCAATCCCTGAAGCTTGAGTCCTGGTCTTTAGTTCCCTACATTAGGGGCCTTACCTGGGCCCCCCCAACTCGCCCTTGTGCATACCCTTGCAGAACCTTCTGTGACCTGGTGCAGTATAACCTGCCTTTGTTCTGGCCCCATATCCCAACTGCCCCCCATCAAGGGGTGGGCATGGACACCTGGCCAGCTCAGCACTTGCTCCAAGTGCCCCTCTGGACCTGGGCCAGTACCGCTCTGGCTCACTCTGGGGTCGCAGGAAGTCAAACCCAGCCCTTGGTGAGAGATACAGACCTTCCTACTCTCCTTGTCTAGAGCCCTCTGGTGGATAGGACTGGTACTGGCTCAGGGGAGGAGGGCCAAGAGTTGCCAGGGGCAGGTACGGCTTGTGCTCGTTAACCCTCCCTGGGTAGGTAGCACTTCTGTTTCAGTCTGTGCCTCCATTACTAACCATTAAAACAGGCCAGGGACTTTGATAAATGCCACTGCTGTCCCCATCTCTGCCTCTTGGGCACAGGCACTACTGGGTGTGTTTGCACAGATCACTTCAGTGGCTCCCACTGCTCCCCTGTGAGTGACAGGAGACATCTAGTCGCCCCTTTTCCTTGAGGTTGAAGTGATCAGCCTCTGTGATGCTGTTCCTCCTACTAGCCGAACACTGGCCTCATGGTGAGGCAGGACTTGTGGAAACTGTGACCCAAGTCTGCACAAGAGGCCTCGGACTATCTGTTAAAGGTCCTGGGGGCCTGGGGAAAGTCCCCTACAGAGCCCCTGACAGTGACATCTCTTTCTTAGGCCAGGCCAGTGGAGCAGTTGCTATAACAGGCTGTGCCCACCAGAGGGTACACTGCCCCGCACAGCTCAGCTGAGCTGGACTCTGCACACCAAATGCTTTTTAATTGAAAAATTTTTTTAATTCAAAAAGGATTTGCTGTTTGTACTCAAGTGCAGGTTTTCCTTATGCAGGAGACTAATGTCTTGAGTAAACAGATCCGGGCTCAAATCCGCCTTCAAAGGTACTGTCTGTTTGCCCAAGGGAGTGAAAGGGCTTCCAGAAGCCGCCCTAGTCTCTTGGGCAAACATTTTGGGGACGAGGAATCCCAGGCGGAGGACATCGTCTGTGGGAAGGTTATCCGCAGCCTAAGGGGGATTATGTCGGGGGACATATGTTGAAATTTCATTTGGGGAATTAGGGAAAACGAGTGGGGGTGGTGACTTTTTCCAGTCAAGATAACCTAAAAAAGAAAGGAAGAAAGAAAGAAAAATCTCCAGGGAGAGGGCAGGGGACTGAGGGATCTGTGTGTTGTGTTGGCCCCCAGGCTCTCCATGTGCAGGAAAGGACAAGTGTACTTGCAATGCCCCCCCCCTCATACTCCAAGCCAGGGTCCAAGAGAAACGGGAATCCAGATGGTGAATTGGAAGGCAGGTTCTTGCCTCTTCCAGAGATCTTTTTCTCCCAGCCACCACAGGCCTGGACCACATGACCCCACATACTGAGTCCCCACTACCTGGTCAGCCACTTGCTCCCCCACCCACTGCCCAGAAAACTGTAACTCCATCCACATGCAAGCGCCCAGCCCCAGTCTCAGACCCGGCACTGGGGGCCAGACAGACAGTATCAAATGAAGGATGCGCCTGCCGACCGCTTCCTGCTGCCTGGGAGCCACGCACAGCAGAGACAGTCCAGGCTGTGCCTGCAGCCGTGGTCCTGGCTGCCAAAGCGGGGTACCCTACTCTCTTTGTCCCTGATCCCCACTCAAACACCATGTTTTAGCCTCTTGCCCCTCGCATTCCTACCCTCCCCACGTCACTCCCAGACCATGTTGGTCACAAGATTGGTCAGACTAGCTCTCAGAACTGACCCAACATTCCAGCCTCCTAGAACATCACTTAAAAATACACATTTCAGATCCAACCAGACCCCACCACCTAGCCTGGGACTGACGGGCTCCCAGGTGAGGCTCTGTGGCTCACACCAGGGTATTGCCCCAAGGGCTGCCAGTCTCCACCCTAAGGGTACAGGCCTGCCTTCTTGTCTTCTGATGTATGCTCTTGTCACTGTGCATCTATCTCTCAACACCGTCCCTCCACACTCCACCCCCATACATACATGCTGCCTCTTCTCCTGAACACTCCTAGGGACCCTCTCCCAGCCACCACCAGTGAACCCAAAATCCTGTCTGCTCCTCAACCTACACTTCCTCTGGTGTCCTGCTGCCCGAGGCCTTTGTACCATTGGGAGTGGCACCTGGGACCTCCACCCTCAAGCCTGTACCATTAAGCCCTCTCCACCTCTGCCTACCATGTCTTACTCACCCCTGTGAAAGGCCCAGGTCCCAAGAAGTGCCCCTTCCTGGACCCCTCTGCCACCACCCTATGAGCCGGAGGCACAAAGGATTCCATAGGACCTATGTCTCTGCAGTCCTAACCCCCACCCCCAAAATGTTCCTTCTCCCACCCCACCACTCCCCCAATCCCCAGTAGAATAAGGCCTGTAGGTGCTGACAAAGCCAGCAGGCTCTGACATGTTGCTGTTCAATGACATGCACACATATGAGCAGCCACCAGGTGGCAGTGTTGTGCCGACCATTGCCTGATAGGCTGGATTAGCCTGATGCGCTGGGTTAGCCTGATGGGCTGGGTTAGCCTGATGGGATGTGTTAGCCTGATGGGCTGGGTTAGCCTGATGGGCTGGGTTAGCCTGATGAAGGGATGGGTTAGCCTGATGAAGGGATGGGTTAGCCTGATGGGCTGGGTTAGCCTGATGATGGGGTGGGTTAGCCTGATGATGGGATGGGTTAGCCTGATGGGATGGTATGCCTTCGATAGTCATTGGAGGGTAGGAGAGTTGGGAAGGAGAACACTGTGGGCTGCTCTAATGGGCTCCCCTCATAGCCACCAGATGTTTAGTGGAAACTGCTTGCTACCAGAGATGGGCCTGTGCCACCCCTGGGATTAACAGACCACCCCTCACCTTAGAAACAAGTCCACTAAGACCCAGGGCTAGGGCACCTGCCTGAGGGCTCTTGCAGCATCTAGCCCTCTCTCCTGTCCATGCTGGTACCAGATGCCGCGAGGCAGGACACACAGGGTTGCCTGGGAGCTCTCTTGAGTGGCTTCTAGGTTCACACACTGCACCTCAGCTCCCTGCTGTCCCTCTCTCAGGACAGGCTCCTGCTGTCTTTGGGTGTTATGAGGCTGGTGGGCTCTGTTTGGCCAGTGTTGCCTGGCAACAGGGCCATGGGGCCACACAGCCTGGCTAGGGTCTGCAGCTTCTCCTGCGGTGGCCTGGCCATGTTCTCTTCCATAGGCTGTGTGCTGGGCAGGTGTCCTCTGAGAAGGAGTCTTCTCAGAGCTGCTTTCTGTTGAAAAGCCTTTTCGGGGATGCCCCCCCCCAGCTCCCGCTCCGGCTCACCACTTCTGATCTATTGAACATGTTTGGCAACCACTAACCTAAACACCTTTACCTAATGCTGCCTATTGGGCACCTCAGGCTATCCCACAGCCCCTCCACCTCTGCCAGGATAGGGCACCCTCTGCTGCACCTTACCATGCCCATATTGCATGTCTCAGCCTTCAGGTGAACTGCGAGGCCCCTCTCCTCACTCGACACATTCTTTTCTTCTCAGAGTTTTCACTGGACTTGGAGTCTTTTACTTTCAGCCCCTACAGAATTGGGGTCTCCAGTGCAATAGTTAATAATCCCCCACAGAACTGACGGTTGGCTCAGGATGGCAGCATAGGCTGGCAAACGACAAATTCACACACATTGGCATACCCCCCCCCCAGCAGCTGCCTGGCCCATCTGTGTAACTGCAGGGTCCCCCGGGAAGGTTTTGGGCACAGTGGAGAATATTTGCACGGGGTGTGGAGTTGTGAGAACAGCCCTAAAGCCCTTCCCTGGTTCCTCAGGCAACAAAGGTGCTGTCCCGGGCAATGCACGGTGTGCATGGTGGCGAGGAGTCCCAGGATCTGGGGGCTGAGGAAGGCCTCTGGTCAGTCATGGAGTCCACTCACGGGTCTGTCCCCACAGCCTGCAGTGGCCCCTCCTTGAGGTACGAGCAGGAAGGTACCTGCCTTTCAGCCTGGCACAGGTTCTCTTGGGAGCTTGCCAGTGGCACCAGATGGGCGCAATGCCAGTGCCAAAGTCTCACCCTGCAGAGGCAGAGACTGTGAAAGCTCCTACCCATTGCCCCTCTGAGCCTGACACACGCACACACATGCACACGTGCACACTCATGCACAGTGACATCCCAGCTCCAGCTCCCAGCAGCCATTCTACCTGGGCCTCAGCAGGGGCTGCATCGCCTCTGCTCAGCCATGGCCATCCCTGGGGTCCTCTGGCCTGACTGTGCCTCTCTGTTCCTTCCTCCTGCAGTATGAGTACAGCTTCCGCACAGAGCAGAGCGCAGCAGCCCGGCTCCCGCCCAGCCCCACCCGGTGCCAGCAGATTCCCCAGTCCTGAGGAGCCCACAGCCTCCTGGGGGAGAAGACGTCTCCTACCCGGTGCCCAGACTACTGATGGGGTGGCTGGGGTGAGAGTTACTGCCTCCCCCACCTGCCCATTCTGCTTGCCCTCCCCACTGACCAAGAGACTCTGGGCAGCTGCATGGTCATATATGGCCATCAGCTCGCCTGACGAGACTCCCCTGCCTCCCTTGGGAACGTTGTTCATAATTGTGACTAATGTATGTGCTGTTAGTGACCAGAGGCTCCTAGCACACCTGTGTGATGACCACTTACCCCACAAAGAAAGAAAAATTCTTCCCTACCTGGAGTCACCCTTGAGGGCCCAGGCACATGCTCCAGCGGCCCAGTGATGCCCACTGACTCCCTTCAACTGACCGTCACCCGCTACAAGAATCCCACAGAGCCACTGTCTCCCTCCTGGAAGGCTCCAGGGTTGATGCTTCACACAGGATCATGTGAGATGCACCTGTCATCTCTGACCCAGGCTATGTGGTCAGCAGGCCAGGGCCCCTGCACTTCATGATGACATCAAGACTCCAGACAACTGTGGACTCCTCCCCCAATGCACACACTGGATTCCAGAGAGCACAGATGCGACCCCGCTGTCTGTGGAGGTGACTGGGTGCCTACCTGGATGGAAACTTGGCTGCTAGGGTGCTGTGCCTGGCCACGAGCTCCAACCCTCACAAAGGGCTCATCTGTGGAGCACTCACCTGCCAGCAACTGCTCCATACGCCTCTGCCTTGTGCCCTGACCTGGTGATGACCGACACAAAGCCTGCTCGGAGAGGCCTGATACCCAGCCCTGCAGGGACACAGTACAAGGGCACCATCTCCTCTCAGCCAGGCCCGCTCACAGTCTAGAAGGCATCTCCTTCCAGGGATCTGCTGTTTTGAAAAGACCCTCTGTCCCAGACGTCTGAATTTGGGCTAGAGCAGTTCACAGGTATCCATCTCGTTGCCATGAAACGGTGGTCACTGCTGTTCCAGCTCTCAGCTCTCACCATGATGCGCTGCTTCGCCATAATTGGCTACTGGGGTTTGTCTGACATTGGTCCCCACAGCGTCTGTGGATATGAAGGTATGCACAGTGGCCAGTAGCCGTAGGCAACTCCACGCTTAGCTGGTGCAGAGCTCTCCAGTTACAGCTCCAGAGACAGTAACAGGCAGCTGAGTGGCCAAGGTGCAAAAGGATCAGGAGCAAGAACCAGCTGACAAGATGGCGTGAGCCAGGGCAGGGCCGAAAATACCTCACCAACCTCCATCGCCCCTCAGCTCCAGCTCCACAGGCCTTTGTGGCCCTTCCTCCCTCCTTAGCCTTCTCCACTTGATGGTACTTCATTTCCATGTGTGTACCCATCATCCCCCTGCCCCTGGGCCCCTCAGCCTCTGGGCAGCACAGGCCATGAAGAGGTAGTTAGCTCATCTGCCTGTGCCCCAGAGGCACATGGGGTCATGGGGTCAAACCTAGTACCACACTGGTGCTCAACAGAGCTGATGAACTGTCCCCCAGCTGACTCCACAAGCTGGGGACCCTGAGGACCTGTGTCTACTGCTGCTGGTGTAACACCAAATGTCTTGTGCGACCTAAGGGCCAACAGAAATGGGGCAGCCACTCATGGTCTGAGTTGACTGGGAAGGCTGCAGGACAAAGCCCAGGGTCTCCTGGCTACTTCCTTTAAGCTTGTGCACAATGTCTTACCGCCTCTTTCCATTTCTCAGTTGTGAAATCATCCCCATCAGGTGATGTCAGGTGACCCTCCCCACTTTCCTTAAAGGAGAATGTGGCTTCCTGCTGTGCTAACAGCCTGGAAGTTCAAAGGTGAAGACAGTGGACCCTTTGTCAGGGATCAGAAAGGCCGAGGTCCCTGAAGAAAGGGCGGGGCTCTGCAGCCCACTCCTGCACAGGACTCGGCCACTGGGAAGAGGGCCAGCGCATGGTGGAGCTGGAGCAATCTCGGGACACTGCAGACTTAGTGTAAGAATAGCCTTTCTGTGAATGTTGTAGCGTCCATGGCTTCTAGCTTCTGAAGTCTTGAGAACAACTTGGTGTCTGTGGTAGGTTTTAGGTTGCACCCAAGCCCTGGTTTCTTGTCTTTTGGCAGTGGTAGTAGTGGGGTATGCATGCCCATGTCCACCTGTGGGAGGTGCGGCTGTGCTCCCAGCAGAGCTGAGCAGCCTGTTGTGTATGGTGTGGAACACTGGGCTGCAGCACCCCTGGCCACAGCGAGATGAACACACAGACTTGCTGGGGGACGTGAAGAACTGCAGCCGCTCCCTTGGGTCTCCTCCTCCCCCACCAGCATGTCCACAACTGCTGCTGTCCCTGCCAAGCACACACATCTCTCTCGAAAAGGCTAATCAGAGCACAGCACCCTACCCCATCACCCCACACTGAAAAGTTGGCTCCTTCCTAAGGGCCTTGGAAATGGCACACGGAGTGAGCGGAGCAGGGTGGCTCCAGGCTCACTTACAAATTTATCATAAGGCCAAGTCTAAGAATACATGTCAACCCCACTCACCTCTAGAAAAGGATAGGTTAGAGCCGTGAGTGTTCTTCCTAGGGTGGCCGTGGCATGTGGCCCCCTGTAGCTGTGGTCATTCTGCAGGAGGAAGCCGAAGCCCGTGTCAGAAGGACATACATATAAGGGGCCGAGATACTGAGCACACCCCTTCCTTCACTGGACATGAGACTTGGCAATCTTAAGCACATTCCTGCCATCCCCCCAAACAAGCCCAGCATTGGGTGCTCTTTGCCCCGTCACTTGAAAAGCCTGAGGCATGTCTGTAAGCTTGCCAGTGGCAGAAGGCCTTGGGGCCAACCATCTGGCCTTTGTGCCCATCCCTGTGACGGACTTTCGATTGCTAGGAAGTCACCTCACCATGGTAGTGGGTTCTAGGCATGGGTCAGGCTGGGAGCCTGTCCTGTGCCTCCTGAGACCCGAGGGCCCCGGACCGTGAGCATCTCTCCTGCTGCATTCATTGGAAAGGGCCTTGATGTGCCGCCAGGCCATGAAATGCTGGGCTCACGAAGTTCGTTTGCATCCTTCTGACCCCAGAGCCTGATGAAGGCCCTCATTCCTGTGCCCGGCTCCCTCTCAGGTGATGCAGCACATCAGGGCAGCCCAGCTGAGCAGCTGCAGCATCAGCACCAGTCTAGGCTCTGTTGCCCTTCAAAGACTCGTTAGCTGCTGGGCCACTGTGTGGCGCTGGCACAAGGACCTAAGCGTAGCTGCCTTGCTGTGTATTTATTCAAGGTGACTGCTTGGCAAAGGGAGGTTTCACTGTGTGATTGTATTCTTAATATAATTTGTTAAATAAATGTTTGTTTTAACCTCTTTTCCCCAATCTGCTGTTATTTTTAAAGCCACCAGAGGTCAGTGTCCCTCAGGGGAGGCCTCTGCCCAGCTGCAAGCTCTCTAGGGCTCCTGAGGGCCAGGTGGTCACTCCCTTTGCCTTTCAGATTTCTAAAGAGCTGATGGTGACTTGAGGGTTTCAGGGCCACAGACATCCTTGACCCTGGGAAGCTCCTGAGAGAAATCTCAGTTACTGTGAACACAAGGCCCCAGAAGACTGCAGAGGGCTCTTTGATCTTCTGCCACTGCATCCTGTCTCTGGGCCTCAGGGCTGGTCTGGCTATCAGAGTGTTGGGATGCAGTTTCCCTTATTTGGGCCTGCCCTAACTGCTCACCTGCGGCCGGATGCCACCTGCAGAAACAGCTGAGGGTCGCATACACATTTGAGGTTCCTTGTGAGGTCATTAGCAGTGCTCTGCCCCACAGCCTGACTCCTGGGCTCTCTGAGACTTAGGGGTGCCTCTATACCTGTACGCTCCACTCCCCAAACCCAGCCTCCTATCTCGAGTCCCTCCCCTGCATCTTTGAGGGGAACCAGATCTGAGTTCTGGTTCTCACTCTGCGGTTTCCTTCATCTGATCCCAACAGCACTCATCTGGCAGTTGAAGGTTTCCCTCCCTCAGGAGCTCCCTCGGGAAGTCGATGGGGTGAGGGAAAGCTGTGGAGCACATGGCAGAGGCTGAGTGATGTGGAGGCTCAGGTCTGGACAGTTAGCCAGTTAGCTACAGAGCCCAAAGCCCCTCCTGTGCCCTACATCTGAAACGCCTGGGAAGTAAATACAATAGGAGTCCTCTGTACCACTTGGGAAAGACGGAATGAGCCCCGGTGCCCAGGGCCTGGATGCCCATGTTTCCCCAAGCCCTCCGACCTAGACCAAAGTTGGTGAGGTGCCCAAGCCAAGAGCTTACTGTGGGAGCCCAAGCCGTCACTGATGCCCCCACCTCTCAACAGTGTACATGACACCCACAAGCAGATAAGCATGGTTATAATTTGGATTTCATATGTCTTCCAAAGGCCAAGTGATAAAGTCATAGTTGCTAATTGACAGGCTTCTCAGAAGCCCTTGGGTCATGAGGCTTTGACAGTAGCAGTGGCTTCCTGTGTGCTTATAATCTGATGAGCCATTAGGGGCAGTAGAAAAGGAGTGACTCCTAATTGACGAGGCTCCACCCTTGGGGCCACCCTTGGTATGTGTCCTGTCCCCGTCTTCCCCAGTCACTCCAGCCCAAAGCCACAGAGCCGACGACCATAACCTGAAACCCCTGAGAGTCGACAGACTGCTGTGTGTTAAAGCTGAGCTGCTCCAATGTGTTAGCGTAGCAACCGAAAACCGCCATGGCCTCCATTACAGTCTCAGTTCAGAAACAGCCGAAGCCCCAGTCTCATCCCAAATCCAGAGTCCCAGGGCCAGGAAGGTCAGCTGGGGGACAATCCTTCTCTGGCCTCAGCACTGGCGGCCTAACCCCTCCCTGGAGTGCAGCCACCCTTAGCAGCCATCCCTCCATCTTCCTCGAATTCATCTTCTCAGCAGGACCCCCCACTCTCACTGTACCCTAAGAATGAAGCCTGAGTCCTCCAGAGTCCCACATTCAACTCACTTCTGCTGATAGCCATGCTAAGTGACCTGCAGCTCCCCACCTGTCTGAGAAGCCTCCTTGTCTTTGCCTAGTCTGTTCCTTCTACCAAGAATGCATGTCCACACACTTCATCCGTCAGGACCTTCTGCCTTGCCCCATCTGCAGCAAAGGCATTGGTTCTCCATCTCCAGCCAGCTGAGTCTACCCTAAGTACCACATGTCACTGAACTGCAGCCACTGGATGCTCTCATTCAGTGGTGTGGCCCACGAGGAGGGGGCCATGCCAAGTTCATCACTTCCTCCCCTGCTACCAGAGTGGGCTGGACCAACAGCACCGGTGAAGAGATGTGAGAAGTCAGGAAGAGATGGACTCCAGCAGTGCCATGAGGCCCCTCAGTGGCCTCTGCACTCATCTTGATGTCCCAAAGAAATCAGAGATGGGCCTCAACAGGTTTGCCCCGGCATAGGCTTGGCTCTGGGCTTGCCAGGCTTCGGTGGTGGTAGTGGTGACTGGCCTTGGCTGCAGAAGTTCCTGGAAGCAGGTTCTGGGGAGAAAGACAACAGAAGGCTAATGTACCACAGAACCTAATCTAAGCCTGCTAGGGACTCGGTTTTCTGGTTCTGTTATTTCCTGCCTAGCCCTGGGTGGAAACTCTTGGCCTTGCAGAGTGTGGGAAAACATAGGGCTGTGGAGGAAGGGCATCAACCAGTAACCTTCCCAGGCTGGACCTGATGCTCCCACTTCCCCGCTCCCACACCTCAGGCTCAGGAGCTGTGGCCAGACAGCAGCCCTTGGGAATGGTAGGGCAGGGCCAGAGATCTAGAAGGTTCTGAAGGTCTGGACCTCCTTACTGGGGACATGGGCAGAATCTGCACAAGCTGAACAGCCTAAGACGTGTGCCCATCTCCCACTCTCCTTCACAGACGGGGTCATGAGACATTCAACCCCAGCCACCTCTGGGAGTCTTGAGAGCCCCTCAAAAAACCCCTGCACCAGACCCACTCCAGGAGATCAAAAAGAACCTCTGTGGACAGAACAGTGAGCTCAGGGGTCCTCCCAGAGTGCCCCGTCCACAGGTGAGCTCATCTGCAGCTCAGCTGAATGTCTAACACCAGGCTTGCAACCCTTCCCCAGAGTTGTGGTTTGGATCTTCCAAGCCCTCAGAAGCCTTGGTTGACAGTCTGTCTAGGACCTTCAGGAAGTCAGAGGAAGAGGTCATCAGAGATGTGCTCCTGAGGGAACTGAGCCTCCCATTCTCCCCTACTCACACCCCCATGCCATCTTACCACTTTTTGGTTCTTATGAGGCGAACAGACTTCCTCTGCCACAGACGTCTCCTCTCATAACAGGATCCAAGCAACAGGACCAAGGCAAGAGATTCAAGAGTTTGGAGCCAACCTGAGCTGTAGTAAGTTCTAGACTGCTTGGGATATTCGGTAAGACCTTGTCTCAAAAAAATGAACAGGAGGCAGCACCCGCATAAGTATCTCACAGTCACCTGTAACTCCAGCTTCAGGGGAGCTAATGCCTTCAGCCTCTACAGGTTCCTGTATGGGCACCCCCATGTGCACACACACAGACACACGTGCATACACACACACACACACACACACACACACACACAAAATAAAAGCTTTGAAACACTGGAGATGAGGATGTAAGTCAGTGAGAGTACTTGCCTAGTATGGGTGAGGCCATGGGTCCAATCTCCAGTACCACAGTAATAATAATAATAATAATAATAATAATAATAAACTCCAGTACTACAAGTAATATTAAAAATAACAAAAGAAAAATAAACATGAGGCTGGAGAGATGACTTAGAGGTTAAGAGCACCTAATCTCCTGCAGGAAACCTGAGTTTGGTCCCCAATAGCCATGTCAGCTCACAGCTTCATGTAACTCCGTTTCCAGAGGATTTGACACATGCTTCTGGCCATTAAGGGAATCTGCCCAGGTGTGCATATATATTCATTCATTCTCTCTCTCTCTCTCTCTCTCTCTCTCTCTCTCTCTCTCTCTCACGCACTCACACACACACACAATTAAAATAAAATAGAAGAAAAATAAATAATTTTTTTTTTTTTGGTTTTTCGAGACAGGGTTTCTCTGTGGCTTTGGAGCCTGTCCTGGAACTAGCTCTGTAGACCAGGCTGGTCTCGAACTCACAGAGATCCGCCTGCTTCTGCCTCCCGAGTGCTGGGATTAAAAAATAAATAATTATTAAAGATCTCTTTCCACACCCTCTAAGTACAGACCAAGGTATCGAAAGCTGAGTTCACTTTTTCTGCTACTGTATAGGTTCCAACTGTCATCCAAATGCCCATGTCCTTTATGCTTGCTCACTGGGTCGTATTCTTGGGAGGTGGCAGTCTGTTCTGAGGTGAGGCGTAGGAGGAGGTTTTAGGGTGACTGCTCAGTGCTCCCATTACTGAGGTGAACGGCTCTGCCCTGCCTCGTGTTTCCGTAGAGGTGTTCCAGTGCAAACTCAAAGCAGCAGATCTCTGAAAACATGAGCCAAGAACTGTTTCTCTTTGTGATTGATAGCTCAGGTGGCTGTCACAGTAGCTGGTGGAGAAACAGCATGCTCTCTCTGACACGTCAGACTCCAGAACACTGGGGAAGGAAAAAGGCGGCTCAGTTTATCTCAAATTGATTCTAAACCAAACAAGGAATGACACAGAAGTCAAAGGCCTGTTTGGATTTGGAGTCTGAGTACAAAATTTTCCATGAAATATTATATACAACTGAATCCACCTGCATATTCAAAACTAACGATGGCAAGTAGGATTATCTCAAGAATGTAAGAGGAGCTGAAGAGATGCCGTAGCAGTTAAGGACAGTTGTTACTTTTACAGAAGACCCAGGTCCCTTCTCAGCACCCACACTGTCATTCACAAGCACCCATGAGTCTATTTCTATGGGATCTGTTGTCTTCTTGTGACCCCCAAGGGTACCAAGTACAAATGTGGTACACACACATACTTGCAAGCAATACAATCGCACACATACAATATAAATTTTAAATACCATTGCCAATGGAAGTTAGGTAGATGGCTTAGCAGTCAAGAGCGCTGGTTGTTCTTGCAGAAGACCTAGATTCAGTTCCCAGCACCCACAGGTGGCTCACAACCGTCTGTAACTCCAGTTCCAGAGAATCCAATGCCTCTGACCTCTGTAGGTACGAGGCACAAATATGCATACACATACATGCAGACAAAACACTCACATACATAAAAATAAATGTTTTAAATTCAAGAATATTCAGTACTGGGAAGGGGGGCCTGGGCAATTTACTTAATGAGCTAAGGATCTACAACCACAGTCCTCTCACCCACTGCAGAAACTGCATTTAATAAATGCCTTAACTTAGGAGCCTCTGTGAGTCCCAACCTTATCCTATGG